GCAGGTGTTTCAGGTGCCTCCAGACCAGAACCAGCAGACTAAAGAACAGCTTTTTCCCCAGAGCTGTCTCTTTACTGAACTCTAACCCTCACTGATGGACTATACTCTCCTTCCTCACACCTTCCACCATTTTTCTATTTACCGTATTTTCACGACCATAAGGCGCACCGTACTAAAAGGCGCACTCTCAGTTATGTGTCCCATTTCTGTATTTAACACACACATAAGGCGCACCGGACTATAGGGCGCGTTTTTTATATACAGGTACATGTCCTCTACTACCTTTAAATACCTCTACTGCGTATTTAAAAATAACAGCGGGGGCAAAACTGAGTATGACTGTGCTTTATTCATGTATTTATTACAAAGTATTAATCAAACCTGGCAGCTGGCCGTGAGACAGACACATCACAGATGACAGAGCTGTGATCACTCCTAAATTAACTTAAAATCCTGAAACCTGCCGACGGAATATGTTCGCTTTTATTACCGGTATCCTGGTGCCTGCAGTTTAAATTGTTTAGATGAAAAACACCTGCCAGCCGCCGTGGTGAGGCTGCTGTTGAAGGGATTTACTGTCGGTGCACCGCTGGTATGTGGGGGTCTGAGTGCCTCCGACAGAAATAGTATAGGCACGATAATAATCTGGATGAACTGACTGCAATTATTAAGTTTTCAGGTGGTCTTTCTCACTTAAAAACATATTAAAACTACTTTATTCCCACTGATCACAGCAAATATAGCTGCAAGATTTAGATTATTTAGATGAGAAAACACCTGCCAGCCACCGCGCTGAAGAGGAGGAGACCCGGCCCAGAGGCTGCTGTTATATTAAGTTTTCAGGTAGAAAAATAAAAGGGAGCAAAACTGAGTATGATTGTGCTTTATTAATGTATTTATTACAAAGTATTAATCAAACCCATCAAAGTCATCATCCTCTGTTTCTGAATAAAACAGCTGCGCTAAATCAGACGTGCCAATTTCCCCTTCTTCGCTGTCAGAGTCATTTTCCGTGCAGCGCAGCTCCTCAGAAATAATGCCGGCTTTGAACAACTAAGGGAGCTTGAACAACTAAGCTTGAACAACTAGAGCCAGCAGACACGTTAGTCCAAGCATCTACAATCCATCCGCAAACTGTGGCGTAATCTGCCCGGCGCTGCCTTCTTATCCTGAAACTGTGGTCTCCGTCGGTCATCCATCGCTCCCACGCCGCTCGCAGCCTTACTTTGAACGGCCGCTTCACACCGATGTCGAGCGGTTGAAGTTCCTTTGTCAGACCCCCGGGATAACGGCGAGCACAGCGTTTATTTGATTCACCTTTTTTTCACATCGGCTGTGAGATGGGCACGCAGCGATGGTGATGCGTGGAAAAAAGCACCTGGTCTCCTCACATACACCTGCCTGCATCATCTCCTCATCCATCCAGCCTTTTTCATTTGCGTTAATATCATATGTCATCAGAGCGCTGTGTCTGTCTCGCTGTCAGCTCCCAGATCAGCTTCTCTGATTGGTTGATGCGGCGCGTCCAGCAGCAAAACTTCAATTTTTCCATCTCGAGCAGCAGCAGCGCGACGCGCTGCGCCTGCTGCTCAAAACGCGCTGCGGGACCTTTTGCTGCACCTATACGCGCGTCAACCATTGACTTTGCATGTAAACTCGCTGCTTCTGCTGCACCTGCTGCGTCCGGTTCACACCGATGTCGAGCGGTTGAACAGCGAGCACAGCGTTAATTTGTTTCCCCATGTTTTTCACATCAGCTGTGAGATGGGCACGCATGGAGTTACATATTAACAGCGATGGTGAGGAGTGGAAAAAAAACACCTGGTCTCCTTACATTCAGCCACTCTTTCATCATCTCCTCAATGAGGTGGTCTCAAAAGTCGCAGTTACAACACACATAGGGCGCACCGCACCAAAGGGCGCACCGCACATTTTGAGGGGAAAAAAAGACGTTTAAGTGCGCCTTATAGTCGTGAAAATACGGTAGTTGTTTTACAAGACTGTAATGTTCACCTGCACTCCTGACTGTTACTATTGTAACAACTGTTTACATGCATCTTGCACTACTCACCTTGACTGAACATTGATTTGCACTGCTGACTGCTTATATTTGCACTGCCAACTGTTTATTCACAGTACCAATTGTTTACATATACATTTGCAATAACGTACTTTAACTGTAATATGCATTTACCTTCCACTGCACTTTAATTTAGATAGCTTCTGTCCAAACTTTATTTATTTATTTTATAGTAAAACCCATCTCTATATATGCTATTGTACATAACTGTAAAAACCCTTTTATAGTAATATCCACCTGTATATTAAATTTGGTACATATCCAGCTGTAAATTTAGTTCATAACACTAGTTATCTATATATTATATTCATTATTTATAATAGTATTCATCTCTATACTCATTCAGTAGAAACCCATGTCCTGTATTTATGGAACCATTATTTATCCTGCACTTGCTGCTATTGCACTTCTGGTTAGACCTAAACTGCATTTCGTTACCTTGTACCTGTACCTGTGCAATGACAATAAAGTTTAATCTAATCTAATCTAATCTAATTTTGCATGTGTGCCTTCAACAATATGCAAATATGAACATTTTTATTTCATCTAGGTGCAAAGAGATTTCTTTTTTTTTTTTTATCTGAAACTCAACTGCTGTTGGAAAAAACATCAGTGGAGAAAAAAACATGAATAGTCACAAAGTAATGCAACAGAATGGCGGACAGTCTTAATAAAGTTGAACCAAATTTAAATATTGTCAGGTGTATGATTAACAAAATATTACATCCATCAGAGAACACCATCACAGAGCTGTAGAGGGCCTCAAAGTACAAATCTATTTTTTTCTAGTTCAAAATGATTTCACTTTTAATCCATTTGTTTCTAATGCTCCTGTGCCTCTATAACATGATATGCTTTTTTCAGCTCCACTGGGGTTTATATAAAAGTCCTTAATTTGTCAGGTTTGGCACACAAGCCTTGGGTTTGACTTGAGTGCTCTAAACATGTTATATTTTTTATTGTCTTTTACAGTTAGTTTAAATCCTTGGTAAATGAAAAGCTAACAATAAAACAATTATAATTAGGACAAACTGTAGACTTTTTTTCAGTAAAGAAATATTTATAAAAAGTATATTCTGTACCCCTATAGCCTTGTATAAATACTGTGATTAAAAAATAACTAATTTTGGTGAAAAAGTTGTAGATATGACCTAAGGCTGAACAATTTCTCAATTTAATCAATTATTCAAAGTTTTATGAAGTTTTCAATTTGGAAATCCTGGATTTTTTCTTTCCTCCCGGGCTTCCATAGCTCAGAGTGACATTGATCCATTGCTTTACTCGAATGTTATAAGTGCACATCAATGAACATAAAATGGACTGATGCCACTCAAAGCTATGGAAGCCCATGGAGTGATCTGGAGGAAAAAAATAAAAATAAAATCATAACATAAACATTAAATTTAATTACTCAATAAAAATAAATTACTCATCAAGCCATAATCAGAACTGATAAACCAGATTACAGTATAATAATACCAGTGCTAACATTTATATTAGTTATGTTTACTGTTTGCTACATATGTTTGAAAGCTTGAAACAGGATTGTTTTAGTTTAGCCATACAGAATTCTGAAACTGTACCTTAATCTGACAGCAGATGGCGCTGCTGCCTTCATGTGGCTTAATTTGCTCTCAAAGCACCACACCCTGACACATAGATGATCTTAAAAGTCCATCAGTGAGCTGGCTGGTATCTTTTATGCTCACGAAAATTAAGGAGTTTGTTTTGTTTTCTGACAAGTGGGGTTTAAAATACAGACTGTCAACTATTCTGAAAGCTGTTATGTGAAAATGTTCCAATCAATGTCCTCCATTGTCCATATTGTTACAATATATTAAAATATTGCTACAAAATTATTGTAGTTGTAAAACCAGTGTGGTTACAAGGGATAAAAAAGTAGCAAACCAAAATTAATCATATTATACAGTCGTCATTTGTGCTTAGTTTTGCTCCTCTAAAGAAGCAGTCGCTTGTAAATTTAGCTAACGGCTCGATTAGCTTAATGCTAACTACACCAGGTGCACCGGGTCAACTGCTAACCCAATTAACATAAAATAAATACCTTTTTGGTAAAAGCAACAACGACATACATCCTAAATTCGAAGCATTTAAGGCTCTACAAATACAACTAACGCTAAAAACGCCTAAAAACACTAAATAAGGAAACACTCACCTGGGCCGTTGACTGAGACGCCATCATGGTTCTTACAGCTGTGATTCCGTTATTGACCAAGTGGTGGCGCCCTACTGTCCAACTACTCTACCCATTTGAGGGATTCTCGCGAGAATAAACGGGATCCAACGCGAGTAGAATGGGGAGATCAATATAAATAAGGATTAAATATTACTGAACTTAAATATTACAACTGAAATGACATGTTAGAAACCTATGTTGCAGGAAAGAAACATTGATTGGTCTTCCTGCCTGTAAGTTAAATACGGTATATATATTTTTATTTATCTTGTAAAGAGTGCAGATGCAGAAAAAAGTTTAACTGTTTTTCCTTCAAAATATTTATTCTTTGGTTCTCAAACCTGTGAGCTCCAATCAATATATTCTTGCTGAACACAAACATTTCAGAGCAGCTTCAAAGTGTCCTGCATTGATAGAGAAATATGTTAATTTTGTATGAATAGATTTGGGGGATGGCTAAAAATGGATGAATAGATTGATCTTTTGATGGATTACTGAGCTTTGAAATGACAAATGAGTGGGCATATGGAAGGATGGGATGATGGATGGTGACAGCCACATGACTTGATTAAAGAGTAGATACACAAGACAGGAACATTTGTAATGGGATAGAACATCTGAAAAAAATATATATCTATATATATCTATATCTATCTATCTCTATATCTATATATATTTGCATATTGTACTTCATAGTGATCCATAACAGAAAGACAAAAGGAGTCCAAACAACCTTTTTTATTAGAACCATACAGCAGATATAAAGGTCTATTGCAAATCAAACACTCCCATCAGAATGGAATATGTGCTTTAACAGACAGTATGCTCTCTGCAAGAGAAATAAATTAAGATAGATAAAACAAATAGAAAGTGAAAGTAGGAAAACAATGAAACAAAGCAAGATCATTTTCCTTTGTCACAAAATATATCATGAAAATAAGTGAAAGCAGATCATTCAACTTGCCAATTAAGAACTCGAAGGTCTAAATTTCAAAACAAAAGCAGAAAGAGTCCAGAAAAAAAGAAGCCCAGAATAGATCTTATGCAGAAGTAAAAATTTGGTTTTACCTGAAAAAATTCCCCTTTTATCAATCACAAAGTGTAGTCTACGTATCTGAGTCTAGCCCTTAGATAAACTTTAGTCACAATGTGGTTAAGAAAACAAATACTGTATTTAAAGCCTGCATTAAAGCCATAATAGCAGTGGATAAATAAAAGGCAGAAACAGTGGATTAACCAAAAGCATTTTCAAGAGAAAACCTTCCTCAACCTTTATCTGAAGCAAGACTGGAGGACTAAAAGAAACTATATATTTAAGAAGACTGCAGTTTGATCACAATTATATATATAAAAAATAGATATGATCAAGGCATTGCTTATAAAAATATGTGGAGGAGGTTTAATAGGTTTTTAATAAATCATTTGGGGGGGGGGGGTATAGAAAAAATAAATGTATAAGGTTAGAACAGAAATTATATTTACTTTATATAGACAATTTAACAGTATTTGGACCAATTAAAGCCGCTACATATAAAGATTAAGATTTTATTTGTTGCTGTTAGGCTTGTATTTCTAATTCAAGCTTTTGGATCAGCGCTTGTGGCTTAGACAGATTTTTAGTGGTGTTCTTGTCTATGAGATGTGGCCCTTTAACAGTTGAAAAGAAAAATAAAGAAAAAATATTTTGCAAGTTTTTCTGCAAATCTGCACCAATGAATGAAAACGAAATCCCACCACCGGCGTATTTTTCTCCCCGCCACTGTACGACTACACTACGCTCCTCTTCTTTAGTCAACAACTAATGTATTATTTATTCATCTTTTATAACATGTTTTTTTTGGATTTCTTAAAATAAATTTCATACAAATCTATAACCCCATGTTTAGAAATCTTATTTACATTTTTTTTTTTATTAAAAGAGACTATGAACCTCTTCTCCCATCTTCACTTAAAAAGCTTAAACAGAAAAACCTGAAAGCATTTTTCACTCAATTGTTTTCAATTTATCCTCATCAGAAAGTGAGTCAGAAAACAGCATTCACCAATGTAAGAGAGAAAAAACAAACTACACCCAAAATATTTGTGAAATTGGTTCATTAATCCAAGAATCAGGTGACCAATGCAAACACAAAGAGGAGGTTTGAACTTCCTGACCCTTTCCGATCCAAAAAGGAGTCTTCAATATGCTTAATGGAACAGACTGCCATAGAACAAGTGTTTGAACCCTAGAAACAGAGCCAGAAGTGGTTTGTGAGGAAAAAACTGACAGAAACGAGAGCAGACTCTTGTTTATCAAATAAATAGCGCCCCCTGCAGGTAATCCTATCCACAACAGGGCAAGCCACTGTGGTCTTCGGTTGTAGTAGTGAGATCTGTGTTGGGTTCAGTCTGAAGAGCGAGTGGGCTTCTATGCATATCATTTCAGCCAGTGTTGCCTCGCGTACTGAATGAGTGTCAGACAGTGTTTGTGGGTCTGTTAAAGATTGCCATCCTCGGTGCAGCCGCCTCCTGCTGTGTACCGAAATTCCTGCAGGTTGGAGACGCCGTGAAAATGGACAAAAGCCCCGGCGACCACCAGGATGTGGAACAGCTGATGGGAGTGAAACTGTGACAGAGAGAGGCGAAGAATAAAAGTTGTGTTTGACAAAGCAAGGAGACACTGAAATCCTAATTCAACACAGTAAACAGACACTCACCCAGATGTCACACTTGCCAGGGAAGAACCTCTCTGGAATGCGAGCGGCATACAAACAGGCGCCGGTGATGTAGAGCGTCGCCATGAGCAGCAGCCAGCCCATCTGACCGATAGTGGTGGCTTTGATCAGACCCTCGCTGATGACAAAGTGAAGGGTGGGAACCACGCCGCTCAGACCCAAACCCACAAACACTCCTAAGCAAAGAAACAATTTCCAAACTGAATCACCTTGGAAACGACCCGATTACATCCATGGACATACCTTGCAGGAGCACAACACTCTGTTTACCTGCTCTGACTGCTCTATACTGTGGCGTAGAGAAGAAGTCGCATTGTGATACTATGATGGCAGCCAGTCCCAGGACACACACAACAATCAGGTAGATGAAGCAGGGCTGAGGCGAACAGTAGAAGGAGTAGTACAACCAGGGGACAAAGGAGCCCATGATCAGGAAGGCAATCCCACTGTAGTCCAATCTATACAGAAAAACATAAGCCAGACATTAGAGCCTTTTCCAGCCTTTACTTGCACTGATGCAAAACATCCGACAGTCGAGTCTCTTACTTGGAAAAGATTTTGGACACGCCCTCTGAGTGACAGTAGACTGTGTGGAAGAGCCAGGAGAAGGAGAGGCAGAGGATGGCTCCGAGAAAAAACATCCCAATCACTACCTTCTCCTGGACAGGAGCCACGAAAGACATGTTGGGTCTGAACATGTACATGAGACCCAGGCAGAGGAAGAACAGGCAGCCTGCAGGAGAAAAGAGAGGATTAACGAATGAGGGGAGAGGTCCACAACAAGATCTCTAGTTCAACACTCCTTGTCTTTTAAAATGGATTCTACTTGTTTTTCATTAAAGCTATAATATTGTATATAATATATACATATATATATTTTAGTATTTGAATTGAAAAGCAAATTTTTTATTTCATGCAATATGTCTGCATCTGGCTGCTACAGCAGGGACTCATGTCATGGTAAGAGCTTTCAGAAGCTTCATCAAAAAATAGAATCCAATCATTTTTTTCTTCCACTCAACTTTCCGCTAATAAGTACAACTCTTAAATTTGCTTCTTTAGAAATCTGTTTTCATGCCAGGTTAATGACCATCTGCTAGAAAATGTTGAACCGGTAGCTTTTCCAATTATTATTGAGACCAGAGGGTAAAGTTGCATAATCAAAAATAGTTGTTTTTTTATGCAACGCTTTAATACTCTTAACAACGGAGCTTTGGGTTTTAATCAGCTGTAGGCTTCAAAGATCAAATTTCACAGAAATATTCCACTTTGCATGCGATGGATATATATAGATGATATAAACCTTATAGTTTACGGAAATGAGCAAACATTTATAATTAAGGAGAGCTTTTTTTCTGCAAATTTTAGATGCATTACTGTTAGAAAAGAGATGCATATAAAAGTTGCAGGAGGACTGAATTGAAGGGTACAATAAATCACATCACTAGGGGGAGAGGAGAGCTCCAGAAAGTTGTTTTGCATAAATATTGGACTAAAGTGAAATCCTTGGAATATTGTCACACATGCTTTCAACTCTTTTTAGTTAGCTTGGTAGCCGTTTTATAACAAGAACTGTGTTTTGCAAACAGATTACAGAACAGGCTGTCTAAGTATGAGGATTAAAGAATAAAATAGGGGAAACTTTCTATTTCAGTCCTTATTGTGCTTTAAGCTTATTGTTTTTAATGCATTCTCTGGAAACAAAGATAAGGTTCATGTTTGGATCATAGATTGAGGTTAGGATTAGAGATTGACCTAGCAGATGTGTCCAAATGTTCCCCGTCTCCGTGTGGATTCTAAAGATGCTCTTAAAGCAGGCGCGGAATGAAGGCATTGGTGGTCTGTGGCCGTGGAGCAGGAAGTCGTTGTCTTTCAGCCAATCAGGGAGCACGTCGTGAGGGATAACACGCCACCGACCCTCCCACATCTGTTTGGTGAATAAAAAATTACATGTTTTAATCAACTTTTCCCCCCAGAAGGCAGTTAATGAATAAGACTAAAATGCTGTTTTGTGGGAAACTGGGTACAGCACAGGAAACTAAAGCTGGGTATAATATCTCCAGCGAAGGTTTCAGCATCACATTATCAGATTAGATGTTGCCCAACATAAACAAATGAAGTGAAGCATGAAATTGGAAACATGGCAGACAGAGAGAGGGGTCTCTCCCTGCATCCCTCAGATTAATTCTAGAGATTTACGAGCTGCTGGCTGTGAAAACTTTTATAGATTCACAAAACTCCATCAATATCATCTATAAGTCCGAGCACTTAGAAAAATACTGACGTCATCCAAATGTTGCCTCATTGCAACCACACTAGATGGTAAATAGATTAATAATTATCTACAGCTGCATAAAAAGCACACAATGTCCTGCTACTGTAACTAAGCAGCAATGCATTTTCAGCTCCTCTGTGTGGATTACACCAAAGAAGCAGATTAAACACCAAATTATGCTGCAACTATTACAAGAAAATCATATTTCATTTGTTGGCCTTATTGGGTAATCTTCCATTTTGGCCAATGTCCAAATATGATCTGTTAGACCTGCCATTTACAGCCTGGAGAACCTGAAAGAAGTTTACTTTAGGGCATAAGGTCATTCTAATCTTTATGGTTTTATTGGCTGTTTTTACTGTGTGGCTTTATTTAGTAAAACTACAGCCATCATAACCAGGTAGGAGCATAGAAGAAGAAATGACATAATAAATGTTTTTCTACCTTGTGAACAAACTCTTCCATCCTCTCCATGGCGTGATGGGCCTGCAGCAACGGACTCATTCCCATGAAGCCTTCATCGCTGCTCCTCTCATCCTCGGTCTGATCCTTCTCCTCTCCCTCTCTTCCCCTTTCATCCTCTTCAGTTATCCGTTTCTCTTCCTGGCACTCTGCGGACGACTGAAAGCCAGGAAAATTATGTTATGACAATGGATTTAGTCTTTGACCTACAGAGTTTTAATATATATAGTTTCAATCAAATGTTTTGTTTTTGCTGCTGCTTCTCTTCTAACAATGTAATTTATTAATAAGAGGCTCAACAATCACACGGTGTGGATTTAGTCTAAAAAATCTCTATGCACAGCTGGCTGGTGATAAACATGCAGTCATAACTAGCATATAAACAAACATTGGAACCAAACTCTGACCCATAAGAAGTAATACGCAGGCTGAAACAGCGACGCTTCATGTGGAATCAGTGGAAAATAATTCTAAGGAATGATGCATAAACGACTTTTCATAGCTTTAATCATCCAAAGCTCCCACGACAGACGATACTTTCTTAAGAATGAAGATGAACTGAAAAATCCCCCCTTCTGTTGTTCCTATCGCTCCAAAGGAGGAAGGAAAATGTGGAAATTTGGGAAAAAAGCAATGAGACACCGAAAGACAAAAAGACAGTAATCAGAATGTTGCCTGAACTACAAAACTAATAGTTTTTTTTATTTATTTATATAAAAATCCACTGGAAAAAGCTGATTTTGTCTGTTTTTAGAAGAATGGCTCCTCTAATCAAATGTACTTCTCAGTTCCTGTGGTTTACGGTTTTCTTACATCTGCCATCCATAAAGACTTATTTTAAGCCATCTGCAAAAAAAAAAAAAATATGTAGGACTGAATAAACAGCTCTAAAGTGCTTTTTCATAAATTTATAGTATCAAAGACAATGTAGGGGAGGCAGGAGATGGTAATTACGGGGGTAAGCGTAGCTGTCCATTACTCAGGCCTGTTGTTTCAGTCACCTCCTTTAAATCCACACTCAAAACATTTTACATATTAGCATATCTATTTTTATTTGCAATGAACTCTAACATGGAGCAGAATTATCTCTGGAAGCGGAGGGAGATTTTCAACTTAGCTCTGGACACTCGTAAATGTCTAAAGTTATTCTTATAAAGGTTGCAGATAATAATGTTGCCAATCATTGATGCTTACGCCCTCTGATTTGAGTTGGTCCATAACGCAAAATATTTATGTTGATGACATTAAACCACATTCACATGCAACAAGTGAGTTAACCTATATTAACCTCAGGGATACAGACCATAAGGCTTGGGAGTCACATTTCGCTTCGTTTTAAAGTATCTGCATGTCCGGCCAAAGATTCGACCCACCCCCCCTGGAAGCACCAAGGTTGGCCGCTCATCAAACTTACGCAGTTGTTCCTTACATTGAGTTACTGTCATACTTTAGCAGAAAGCCTTTCCAATTTTTTCCCAGAATTCATTTCATGGAAATTACACCTGAGACACACGGCTAAAGCTTCTAGGAAAGCTTGCTTCTTTTCCTTATATCTAAAGCACATCACTTGCACAGCGCCTTCTGACTTCACAAAATAAAACAGCCTTGATAAACATTTCATTTAAAAAAATAATATAGAATAAAGAACAATTTTTTTTTTAAATCCACAACACTTTACCTGACAAAAACACATTTATATTAAAAATATCAGTTTTTTAAAAGGTTTAGGATACCATCCATCCATAAGGTCTTTAAAAAATAAAAATTAAGTCTATGGAGAGTTTAAGAGAGTTTGAGCTAACTATTCTTCTTGTGCATTGTTTCCATTAACACCACTGCCAAGTCATTTCTACTGAAGCAATATTTAGGGCGTGTGTGCGCACAGATGCTCCAAAAATGTCTGATACAGAGGTAAACGGACTTATCGGTGAAATGCAGGCACACCCTAAGCTAAATTACACAGCGCAATCATTACGCTACTCTATTAGTTTTATTTGAGTAATTTTCCATTGAGGGAGGAAGAGGAAAAGTAGGACAGGACAAAAAGTTTACACCCCTACACTAATCTAAATATTTGTTTCTGTGACAACATAATAAATCTGTTATCTTATTGAGGTTAGATGTACTTTTTTTTTTCCATGGAGGTTGATGATGTAATACTAGAAATTTATGCAAATGTTATTCTAAAACAGAGCTGGTTACCAGATGATGTGTTTACCAAAATGAGTCACACTGGTATAATCAACTTGGTAAGTTTAAGAAAGTTTTAACAAAATTAAAATAAAAAAGCAGTTTGGGGTTTCCATACATAAACATTTTCTTCACTCTCCACATACATATAAGCAGATAAATCTGTCTAAATTGATAAGCAGAGATCAGAAGTCTTCATTCTGAGAAGTAAATCTGGACGTTTTTCTTCAAGGTAACAGAAAAGGCGACTTCTCCTCGACCACAGAAAGCATATATCCAGCTCCACTGAGACTCATTAGCTCCATGATGTTCTTTCTGGTCAATCTCACCTGATTAATGACTAGTTTTATGCAAACACACCTCTAATACACTCGCATTATGAAGTTTATACTGTTCTAGAATTAAATCATGAGTCAGCAGTAGAAGTATGTGATGGGAGGAAAAAATAACTTTAGGAAGCTTCAGAAAAATGCAGCTGAGGGCAGGTTTTAGGAAGCAGTGCAAGCTAACAGGAACACAGAGAGTCTGAGGGTATAACGAGCCAAAGAGGGAAGAGCTCACCCCTGCACACATTAACCTCTGGTCAGGATGGAGGGATTCACCATGTGACTTACACATGTTCACAACTGTCTTGGGATTTTAGAAAAAAGAAACCATGACCCTCAGAAACAGCATGTTCTACAGATAAACTGGAGGAGACTTTGTTTCCCGTTTTGAGCAGGACAGAAGAATCTACATCAGACCTACTTTAATATTTTTAATTTGGAGGACTAAAATCTGCCAATTTACTGTGTTGAATTCCTGAACAACAGGCGGGAATATGTGATTATGCAACAACACAGCTAATTTTCTATCTATTGCATCATAGTGTTTCACCAAGTTTCAACACCTTGCAGCTAACAACAAGATCGCTGTAAGAAACAAGATCCAATATCGTTTTTATTTACTTATCTTAACAAAAACCGAGTTCTGTCCACAAACTTTTGCAAAAAGATTTTAGTACAAGTGTTTAGGTTTACCTAAAAGGTTTTAGATAACACAACAAAACCTGAAATAAAATACAAATGGGCAAACAACGAGGTGAGTAAGTCTTTAAAAGATATGGCTATAGCTCTATTAATTAAAATTTTCATCTTATTTACTAAGTGCATAAAGCTCTGGTATTATAAGTTTAACCCCATTTTTCAGTTTTAGTCACTTTGCACACATGGAAAGTACAAATATCTACCCAATAACACGCTGTGCCATTTTTAACACCCGTTATATCCACATCCCCTTTAATCAGTGTTGTGCAACACAAATCGCTTTGAAGGACTAAAGTTTAGGGTAAGCTACTAGCAAGTTGTTTTTTAGAAGGAGGTATGTTGTAATAGTTGGATATTTCTGTTAGATTAAATAAAACAAGATTACAGGAAGCGTTTTCATAAAGCGAGCAGAGGAAAAGAGAAGTGTAACAGATAAAATTAAATGGTAAACAGGATGTGGAGTACCAGCCTTAAAGCTTCACCACAGGCACACAGACAGACATCACTCTGTAATACAAGGCTGAAATGAGGCTCTGTGATGGCTTCAGACACTCTGCCTTCTGGTGACTCCTTATGCCTTCTCGGGTGTCCGTGTCGTCTTACAGCAGGTAAAAAGGTTAAACCCTAACCCCACGGCGTCTAAAATGAACACAAGGGTTGCCTCAGAGGAAGTCTGTCTGGTACATTTAACTAATTCAGGAGTCTGCCTTCATGAGACGATATCATTAGCACTTCCCTAAGCGATGAAGCTGTTTATGGTCAAAACAAAAAGAAAACATTTATAAAGAATAAGGCCAGGACAGATGGGGGGAAAATAAAAAACACAGAAAGAAAGGACCCGACTTGAAATTTCAGGCAGAGCCAGCTTCATAATGATGCAGCCCCAATTACTATAGCAGTGTGACTCATCCTGAAGGCTGTAGAGCCTTGAAATGGAGCGGCTGTCGATAAGTGGAGGTGGTAAAAACCTTGGACAGAGAGGCTCCTGATCAGAGCAAACAGTTCTCATTTCAAGAAGCTGCTTGTAAAACAAACTGTACCATAATCCCTTATCTTTCAGCAACTATACCTCTATAAAAATATCTACAACCTTGTTAAGTTTCCAGGGATTTCAGTCGCATCTCTTTGTATTTTAGATATAAAAATATATATTTATACATTTAAGTTATTATACCACTTTTAATATTTATTTATTAGTTTTGTAGGGATTAGCCTTTTTAATTAACTTCTAAGGCATATTTAATGGTGACCAAGAAAAATAAGCTTCAGCAAATAAAATCTCCCTTTCAACTATAATTAACATCTTTTGCACTTTTTTTACACTTCTTGAAATAAAGTGTGCACGGACTCAAAGTTTATGCGTTTCTGTAAAGAAATGATAAAGCAAAGTTATTTGAACTCTGCTGTGAACTTTAACATCACATGGCTAAAAGATTACAACAGATGAAAACAACTATAGGATTAAAATTTATTTAAAAGGAGGCACCAAAATCCTCCTTAAAACATAATTTAAAGTCATTCTCTAAATGGCTCTTTAGAAGCAATATTTTCTTACAGGAGTTTTGAACATCGTCACTTCTACATTTCTGGACTTTTAAAATAAAATTTCCTTTAGTGAGAATGCGCAATGATGTTTAATTCTGTTAGCTAGCAGGTCGGCTACGTGCCTAATGAGTCGTCTTTCATTATTAACGTTAGGAGGTGAGGTCTGGTTTTGTTTTACACTCTGACCTAGTAAGCCCACACCATACCACATGCCTCTGAACAAAACCCCAAAGCCCCTGATAGCATGTTAACAGGTGCGTCCTGTACTCACCCCGTGGCGCTCGGGGCACTCTGTGGTGCTGAGGTGATTAGTTGAAGAGCCTGAGGTCGGGGGCATCTCTCCTTTCTCCCGTGGACTCATGGGACCTGCAGGTGAGCAGTTGGTGGCGTTTTCTATGAGGTTAGAGTTTCTGTGTCGCAGCACAAAGGCTGGGCCCTCGGCCCTGTTTGTCTCTCCTTCGTCCAGCTTGAAAGGCTGGACCGTCTTCTACAGTAAAACCTGAAGGATCTCAACTGGACGAGAAGACTGAGGCGTGCAGAAGGAATCTGTGGCACAACCTCAAACATTAAAAGATATTTCAGTGCAAGTTAAACACAAACTAAACATCTCAAATTTGAAACCAGTACTTTTAATATAAACCATTGTGGATTTTTTGTGACAGATCAACACAAAATGGTGCATTGATGTGAACCTGGAGGAAAATTAGCCGCTTTATAGAAATATCTCTGGTTGCGGCTACAGCTGAAGCTTTTGAGTTCTGTGTTTATGAGCTTTGCATAACTAGAGAAATTTTGCTTGTTTTTCAGAAAATAACTGAACCATGGTAAAACTGGATGAAGATCATCTGTAAACATCATATTTCCTGTGTCACCACAGATTAAAGTTTTAATGAATAAATAAACTTTTATCTAAACACTTTAATTTCAGCTCTGCCTAAAGTATATGTAAACAGGAAGCTCTCTACTAAAATAAGGAGCATTACTTTTTGTAATGCTGCCCTATAACTGCTGTGAATAAGGTTCCCTGTTACATAATACTGCCACCACCATGTTTTACTGATGGGATGAGTGTCATATGGTGTGTACGGTGTCCTAGTGGGATGGATTAACTAATAGCTTGATTTCTGCAGATAATTTTATTTAGCTTTATTAGAATAAAGGGATGTGAAAACAAATATAAATAGGTGCTACATGTTTTAGCTTTCTATTGATGAAACATTTTTAAAACCATGCATTACTAGCTGAAAACAAAGTTTTTTTTAGAAGAATCACACTTTGTGAACATTGAATACCTTGACTTCTTTGAACTTGAAGATGGGTTTAAGTTCAGACTTTAAGGGACCAAGCTGGAGAGAAGCTGCACTCTGGGTAGAAATTGGAGAGGGAGAAAAAAGGTTTTAGTCCAAATTCATTCCCAAAAATATTACCATTTAAAGCCAACTTAGAAATGTGAAGACAAACCAAATACCAAATAGGGTAGAGAGCATTTATTAATGAAAGCAAACTGTGCAGACGAAAAACTCATTACTGAATTTAAATCTAAAATATTTTTTTTTATTCTTAGCAAGTCAAACATATCACTTAGTGCATTGAGGGGCTGTATTAATAGCCTAAAGGCTGCATTTAAAGTCTGCAGAAAATTACAAGCTGCCAAGTTGCTCTTGTGGTGAGCTGTTTCACAACGAGAGGCATCAAGGACAGCAACAACACATTCACATACAGGAAGTACAACTATTCCCTGGTGATGTATTGTTTGCAGTGTTAACTGTTAAGAGTCGCCATGGTAAAAAGCTGTGACCCAGTTCTAACCCATCTAAGCTTGTGAAGGGGTACAATAATTAACAGTAAACCCCTAAACTTGTGAAGAATTCTCCAAAAAGTCAATGTTTATTACACTTTTTACAGCTTACATCTAAAGCTTGGCTCTCCTTCCTCACTGTAGCAATGAACAGCTTTATTTGCCCCACAACACATACAGCAGGGATTATACACTGTGGGAATAATAAGTCCTTAGGTAAACAACAGAGTTAGTTCCAAACATTACAGATCTAAAGGATAGATAAGAGAAGATAGTAACACGTACGACTGCTAAAATGTTTTACAGATGAAATGAACCTGTGATGTTATCCAATAAGAAGACTATTTAAGATTAACTGATATGTTGAAATCAAGCATCTGTGCACTCAGGGATGTCTTATCGATCTGTGCCTGTTCTTTTCCTGAGGCCCAGATGTTATCAGAAATAGCCGGTGCGCTTTACTTTGGTGGCTGCACACTCATTTCCTGTCAAGATGAAAAGTTTCCCTTGAAAGCTACTTTTGATGTGTATTTTTGAAGCTGTAGTTCAGCTCCCAGGAGGATAGTGTCACATGTTCTGACTGTGAAACGCACAAATATTCAATATGAAAATAAATACAAACTAAGTAAAAAGGTCTGCATGAGGGGAAAAGCTAAATAACAGAGGCCTAGTCAGCACTTAACTAACAATTTCACTCACATTTAGCTTTCAACACACATTGTAAACTTCTGTTTAAAAAGTTTAATGTTATGAAACTGTTACACTGAGAAAAAGAACAGTACAGACTGGTCTGACCCCAGACAGAGATAAAAAAGGACTTATTTGACGGAACATAAGATATGGAAAGAACACAAAGCAACAACTCCTTCACACACCCAAACCATAACCGGCTTCCAAGTATCTGAACCGCCTCCCAAGTTGTTTTAGCCCTGAGACCAGCTGACACATTATGTCTGTCCACAACAGGATGCAGAATGAGTCATCCAACAGTTTGCTGCTTGGTAGCGATGATCACAGAGGCTCCCAGACGAACAACCAGCTTGACTTTTTCACTGCCAATGCCCCATTTAAGGATCGGTTTCATGTCTCGATTAAGAAACAGTAATTTCCGTCTTTCCCTGCTGGCTGGAACAGGTCCCACTGTACCTCCAAGCTACTGCTCATACATAATGTAAATAAACCATATTATTTTTTTCATAAACATTCTTAAATAAAGTTTAAAAGGTAACCCATTCAGTCATACTTAAGGCATAAATCGCCATAGTTTTAATAATTAAAAGCAGACAAACATAAATAGTTCATCAAATTTATAAATTAATGGCATTTTTAAACTGCATTACAAAATGAAAATTAAAAACATAATGAAGCTCAAGCTTAAATATTACTTCTAGTGAGGAGGTTTGAGGTGAAATCTTACTGCATAACAAACATGGATGAGATTGCAGCCCTGAAATGTCTAAATACACCTAAATCTTAAGCTTATTTCAATACAAGGAACATAGGATGGAAGAATAACACAGGTATTTATGTGCAAGATGTCTCTGATTTTGCCCTTACGGTCTATTCTTAGTACTTTGTCACAAAACTAATTTTATTTGCTATGCCTGTTCCTGCTTGTTTTCTGTCTGACGTACCAAATTCAAAGCATTTTGCTGCTATCCACTTAGAAGAACAGACAGGAACCCACCCCCCACTGTAACAAAGCAGTTTTAAAGCATTCAGGTTGAGCAGATCACAAAGAACTCATGTGAAATGTTGCACGCCATTGCATTACATGCTACATTTATTGCACCTAAAACTGATATATTTTTATTTAGAAAAAAATAAATCTTGATAAGCACATTTTACAAAACCTTAATATAATAACCAGCATGCATGCACACTCACATGTCATATATAGCAGCAGAGCAGCTGACACTGCAACTAAGTAATGTGGAGCCATTTACTGGTGTAGAGTAGCAACTCACCGCAGAAATCAATCACTGTAACCAGCACCAACTTCACAGAACTTAAATGAAAAACTGTTGAAAACTGAATAAAAGGATCAATACAGAATGATTTGTACTTCTATTTCCCATGTATGAAAATAAACTCGCTGTGAAGAGATCACAGCTGAAGAAAAGGGGATATAAAACACAGAAAAATTGTTAAGGTCTCTTCTGCCTCAACATTTAAAGGAGAAGTTCGGTTTTTTACACTACGTACTCCGACGTCGAGGTGCTAACGTCTCTGTTAAACACTTTAAAAAACTCTGAAAATGGAATACGAAAGGTGGATTCTTGATTCTCGACGTCGGAGTACACAGAGTGAAGCGAAAAGACTACAACTGTGTAAACAGGCCCCATTTCCGTTTCCGGTGGCAGCGGAATATTGACTATTCCTACAGAACTCAATGGGATTTACAAAATGCTAAATAAAACACTACAGGAACGTTTTTTCTTCACGAAACTTTTTTTGGAACGTCATTGAACAGCGCTGACGACACGGTGAGTAGCATATTTTAAAAAAAGAACGTTTAAGGTTGTTTTAAGGACATTATCGGACATGCTCTATGCTAGCCATTCTAAAGCAGCCAGGGGTTGATTCTAAATGAGCCAAAAAGCAGAGACAGGACCAATTGTCAAAATTTTGGTGTCCTTCATTCGATTTCATCCTGGACACTACAGAAAATGGGCTTAAAGTGTAAAAAACCGAACTTCTCCTTTAAGTGCAGTTGGAAATTAAGAGTGTCAGGCAGCAATCATTTACTTGAAAATATGCATTAGTAAGAAATAAGCAAACAGAAGGCAAACCAAGTCATAACAACCTTGCAAAAATGTTTGAGCTAACAAATGAGTCATGTAAGAAAAAAAGAGGAAGTTTGGCGAACAGAAGTAGGTCAAATATTTACATGGGCATAAAAAAAAAATGGAAAAAACGTAAATAACGGGAACAGTTTTACAACAAATTCAAAGCTTTAACTTTGCTGGATGGCAGCAGGAAAATGTAGGTTCACTGTAATGACACACAAACATGTAGGTCACAGACAATTTGAAAGTAAGGGTTGTTTTCTTTACTCTCACTCAGTAGGAAGTTAATGTGGGACAAAGGTCAAGCTGTAACACAGCAGTACTTTAGTGGCAGGTCTATGTACTGCAGATACCATAACTGACAGATGGGCTTTTTTTACTTTTAACTAACTGGGTGATGATTAGGAATCCTTCATGTCAAATTAATTAAATATTACGATTAAAAAGAAAAAGGAAAAAGATAAAAACATAATGTAATCCAGATGTCTGTTTCAGGTGAAATTTTACCAAGCAGCAAATTACAACACCAGAATTTCCCCATTGTAGGACAATAAAGGGATTTTCTATTCTATTGAAGGTTCTCCACTAGAAGATAAACAAAGCTACAGAATACGCATCAACTTTACAGCTGAGCAGGTTTAATGAAAGAAAGAAAGATAAAAACAAAAAGTGGTTCATTAAAATAACACTGTACTAAAAAAAATCATCTAAAAGCTGCAATGAATTTCAGATTTGGTATAAACCAAAGAAAAGCAAATATGGGTCACCTTTTAAACAATACATCCCAGTGACCACGGCAATTAATCTTAAATATGGAGATCTATTAAAATCGGACAAAGCATTCCCCAAAACCTGAATGCCTTTTTTGTATCTGCTTTTTTTTTTTTTTTTTCGTTTCTGAGTGTCCAACGGCATGAAATTTCCCCCTCCAAGTGAGCAGGCTGTATGATTCATTTCATCAGACATGGCCTGCTGCCTGCCATTTTCTACGTCATCACTCTCTCCATCTAACACAGCCACTCACCAAAATGTGTAACACCACATACAAACATATTTCCTGGAATTTCTCTACTACATGCCCAGTGCTCAGCCTTTTTTATTTACAACATTACAGACACAGAGGAAGAAACAAGAAGAGGTTATAGTCACCTCATTGCACATTTTTTGCTCTAATGACTATTTTCTTAAAACATCACCAGGTTATGACGTTCTGTTTTTCCCTGTCCTGTTATTCAAGTTATACAAGCTAAACAGATGCTCAAACAACCGGCCAGCAACGCCACGTACCAAACAGGTTACACAAGCCCAACTGCTCAAATTCATCAACATGAACTGACAATCGTCACCACCTTCTCTCCTTTTGCACTAATGTCTTGCAAGCAAGATTTTTTTTACTGTTGAAGATTTGAAGTAAAAAAGTAAAACTAAGTCATTATCACTGAGTTTATGAAGGAAAGATAAATTACTGCACTAATCAGTGCAGCAAAGCTGATAACCAAAGAAGAACGGCAAGAACGTCAGGAACGTTAACCTCGAACTGGAAAGGTCGGACCCGCAGGTAGCTGACACAAGAAAAAACAAGCTTACAAATATGCAATGACTTCAGCTTTTATTTGCAAATTCATTTCAAAATGCAACCAAGATATATAAAAAAAAAAAAATACCAATCTGAAGGTTGGGAATTTGCAAGATTCATATTTATTTCCTAATATTGATTTTCCTATAAGACCTTTAATTAAGGCGTGCTGAAAATAATGCCAGGTCTCAGTTTGATCCA